TGCCCTGTAAACTTTCACTCAATCCACAATAAAAACCTTACAAAAAGAGAAAAAAACCAAACCAAACCAAAACAACACAATAGCAGTGCAACTCACAAAAAAGTTTGTTACACCAATACCACTAACAAAAAAAACTGTATAAATTTATGAAGCTAAAGAATCCTTTTCAGTTCTTTTTGTGTATAGAATATATCCTGCTGAAAGTACAGAATATTGTGTTCAAAGGAGCCCTGGTGGCACTGTGGGATAAGCACTGAACTGTTAACCACAAGGTTGACAGTTCAAACCCACCAGCTGCTCTTTGGGAGAATGTTCAGACTTTCTGCTTCCATAAAGATTTAGAACCTCGGAATCCCTATATGTGTTCACTATGAGTCAGAATTGACTCGATGGCATTAGAGTGTTAGATTCAAAAGTTGCTTGCATTGCCTTTTTTTTTTCCCCCCTTTGGTGTGATTATTTTATTATTTGATATATCATTAGTTGCATTGTTTATATTCAGTATTAGAACTTTTACTCCCATCTGTGTTGATTTATATACATATATATATATATTTTTTTTTTCTACAAATTTAAAGCAATAAATAGATCAAAAGTTCAAGCCAAAATAATAACATGTACTCAGAGCCCTTCCCTTTTTTTCCATGCTAGTCTTGCCCACCTGTTTTAGGTAAGTAGTTTATCCTACCAGTATTTTTTTTTACAAAAATAAGCCACTCCATATAATGTATTTTTGCGCAAGTAAGTCATGTTATATGGTTTCTGCAAACCTTGGGACCCTTTGCATGCTAGTTTTCTGTGTGTGATATGCCTATATATTGTATATTTCCAGATTTCCTCCATAGGGAGTATAACATTTGCCACTCCTATCAATAGTATGCGAGAGTGTCTATTTCTATACAGCCATGTTAGTAAATATTGTGTTGCTGAGGTTTTGAATTTTCCAATCAGATAAGAATGGTATGTTAATACATTTGTATTTATCTTACTACAATTGAAACTGAACATCTTCATGTGTTTTAGTGTCATTTGCATTTAGTTTTTCATGAAACAACCATCCTTTTATAAAATATCTTTTAAAAATCTAGTCCTGTTGTGGTGCTGTGGGATAAATACACTGGACAGCAAGATTAGTTTGAACCTCAAGGTTGGCACTTCTAATTCACCAGCTGCTCCTTGGAAACTCTATACAGGGTTGCTATGAGTCAGAATGATTCAAAGGTATTTAACAACAACAGCATTTGTCTTTTTTAAAGTTTTTATTGTGAATTGAGTGATAGTTTACATGGGAGAACATTGGTTTTGCACTTATCCTATTTGTTTCATTACAATGATTACAATCCCCTCCATGTATCATCATTTATCAGTATTTGTTTCTATTCCCTCTTTTTGTTGTTGTTTTTTTTTTCTGTTGTACACAGAAATGCTCAGGAATATATAATCATTTAAAAAACCAAAGGGTACATTCTGCAAGCCTGCCTTCTGGCCACCAGTACACAGCTTTTCTCTTTCCATGAATCTAGAGTCCTCAGCTTCGCCATCTCACCATGCCATCACCTCTGCCTCCATCTCTGGTATTGTTGCTTCTCTGGTTAGGGCCCCATGTTCTGCTCATGCTTTTCGCTCTTGATGGTCCTAGGGTCCTTTGTTCCTGGACTGTAAGATTAATTACTACCTCCTTTCACAACATTTTTTGATGTGTTTTTGGTTTTTTTAGTCCCCTTAATTTGTAAGAGTTCTTATTAGTAGGGATGTTATTGTTAAGTGTCATTGAGACGGTTCAGACTCATAGCGACCCTGTATTTGAACTGCCGAGCTTGTGGTTCGCAGTCCAGTGCTATTCCCACAGCGCCACGCCAGGGATGTTAGATCTTTATTGCAGGCATATGTTGCCAATATTTTCTTGCAGTATGTCACTGGTCTTTGACTTTATTTTGGGTGTGCTGTATTGCATCTTAAGGATATAATTAGTAAATATTTTGTACATGAATGTGAATGAGCAAGCATTAGAGTTCTCTCAAAATCTTAAGTTGAACTCTTATTTGAATATCTCAAGGGTTTTCTGAGAAAAATATGTTGTTGTTGTTGTGAAGTGCTGTCAAGTGGATTCCAACCCATAGTGACCCAGTATAGGGTTTCCAAGGAGCAGCTGGTGAGCTTAAACCACTGACCTTGCAGTTCAAATGGCTTTGCAGTCTGGCACATTAACCCACAGCACCACACCAGGACTCCATATGTTCTATTTACTAACATGTTTTGTTAAAATGTCATTAACTTTGATCACAAGTGTTGTAGTTTGTTTTCTTAAAAAATAAAAATAAGAAAAAGCTTCAATGAAAAATAAAAATGGCTAGGAATAATTATATAGCACCAGATGAAATAAAAATTGGTAATATGTAATTTTAGGAATCACAAAATTTAGTTTTGATAAACTTTGCAATTTAATCTTTTATCATTAAGTTAGAAAAGAGGATTTTTTTTTTCTTGATGTAAATGGTAGCGTGCTGGTGAGTCAGTTCCAACTCATAGTGACCCTATATAGGGTTTGCGAGGCTGTAAATCTTTACAGGAGCGAAGAGCTTCATCTTTCTCCCATGAAGCTGCTGGTGGACTCAAACTGCTGACCCTATGTAACCCATTTTACCATCAGAGCTCCTTTGATATAGGTAAATTTATTTAAAAAAGATTAAGTTAGTTTTCTCGAGTCAATTTGAGAAAATGGAATCTATTTATTGGAATATAAAACAAATAATTTCAGGGGATTCAATACAAAATTAGAGAAGAATTAATTTCACCACTTATTTGGAATATATAAAAGTGTTAAAAACAAATACGTTTTTAACATATTTGTTAAAAATGTTACAGCTTTTATGAGATGGTTTACTTACAACTTCTTGTTTTTGTTAAGAGGTGTTGAGTTACATTCGGACTGATTGCATCCCTGTGTAGTGTTTTCAGGAGCTCTGGTGTGACACCGTCAGTTAAACACGGAATTGCTAAGCAAAAGGTTAGCCATTCAAACCCATGAGCTGCTCCTATACAGCCAGGGTAGGGAATGTCTGGCCCGCGGGCTGTATGTTGTTAAGTGCTGTTGAATTGGTTCTGACACAGCGGGCTAATTTTTAAGTTGATAATTTTGTATGGCCTACAAATTATGTTATAAATTTTGACAGTAAAAAGGTTCCCCACCCCTCCTATACAGGTTTGTTATGAGTTGGAATCTATTCAGTGGCACTTAATGAAAACATCACTAGGATTTCCAAGGGGTAGCTCGTGGATTTGAACCATCAGCCTTTCAATTAGTATTCCAGTGTTCATTCTGCAGCACAGACTATAGGTTAGAAATTGTTCATTTGGAATGTTCTATAATTTTGTGAATATAAAAGTAGAAAATGTCAGTTTTCACATAGTGATTGTTATAAAGCTCATTTTTAGAACATACAGTTCCAAAATCTGTTTTTATTTCATTTAATTTAGTTTGAATTTTAACAGGAAAATTATGAAACCAGAAATAACAATTTTCTGAAAATGAAGTTTATATCTCTTTTTTTCAGTAAGAATTGCTTCATGTGACTTTAGAATACATTGAAATGATTGAATATGTACTTTTTCCTTTAAGGAAAAATTCTGTTTTGTAAAATGCCACCCTGACCTCCTTTCTACTCACTCCTCAGCTTTTCTGCCTCAGAGTCTTTGTACTTGTTCTGCTTTTTACCTGATTATTTTTACCCCTGCCATGACTATTTGTTTCTCATGCTTCAATTCTCCTTGAAGTAAATGATCCTTCCCATGAGAGGCTTTCCTCGTCACTCTCTCTAAAATGATTTTCTATCCTATCATTCTTTGATATGTTACCCTTTTGTATCACAATTTGAATTTGCCTGGTTTAATTGTTCATTTACTTGTCTCTTGTGCCCCTCCTTTTTTTTTTTTTTTTTTCCAGGAGTTTTTTTTGTCACGTGTGTTTTGTGCATTAATGATTATAAATTATTTTCTCAAGACATAGTCTAACAGATTTCAGATAGATCAGGAGTAGCATTTTTGTGCTTTTTCTTTTTCTGTGGCTGCCCACATCAGCAGTGTAATGGTGAGCTTGCTCCTAATATTTGGTCAGTATTTCATGTTTAGTATAAGTTGTTAGGTACAGTCTCACAAATAAAAAAAAAGAAAGAAACAAAGAAAAGGAAACATTCCTGCTATTGACTTGGAAAGTAACCCAAAACACTTCATTCTAATTAATAAAAAAAAAAAAATTCATGTGATGTTCAAACATATATAGAGAATTTCCCCTTAAACCCACAATCTAGATTCAGTAATTATCAAGATTTTTGTCTCATGTTAGAATTTAAATTATTTTCCTGTTTCTTTCAGTTAAAACAAGGTTTTAGAATATTGCTATATATATGATGATTAATATAATTTGATTTTATCCATTCCAGCTTGGAAACCACTTACTACAGTAGTGTCACAAGCTAAACGAAACTTTCATCAACTGAACCAGGATTTTCCTCAACAGGTATATATATTTTTTCCATCAGTATATTCTTGTATTTTGATATAGCATGTTGTATGATTTTTAATGGAATCATAGTAATACAGTATAGGCATAAACCGTTTATACAGAGTTGCTGTGGGTTGGAACCAACTCACATCACTTTAAAAACAACAACATAGTAATACAGAGGTCCTCAAGCTATCTGAAAAAACCATATGAGGACCATGTGTGACTTCCCATGGCTTCACAAGGGGGACAGAGAATCAAACTCACAATCAGTCCAAGGCCAATTACTAAGAAGCAGAGGTCAGACATACTTTCACCATGGTGTGGCGCTGTGGGTTAACGTGCTGGACTGCGAAGTTGGTTTGAACAGCAGGATTGGCAGTTCAAATTCATCAGCTGCTCCTCAGAAACCCTATACAGGGTTGTTGTGGGTCGGAACTGACTCAGCGGCACGCAACAACCACAACCACCTTCTTTACCCTATTCTGTCTTATTCTGCCATCCTTCCCACAGCACTCTGCTTCACAGCTGAGTTCAGTAATCCATTACCGTGGCCACCCAGAACTTATAACCATACTTACGATTATGGGGTTAATTAGAAAAGTGAACAGGGTACAATTCAGGATTATAACCAACCCAGGATGCAGCAGTTTTCCAGTCAGGTATGCCTGTTGTCTGCCATGTTGCAAGCACGCCTCACTCTTGTCTTCAACCTTTTAGCTATGTAGGTTTAGCCTGTATAGGGTTTCTGAGGAGTGGCTGGTAAGTTTGAACTGCCAACCTTGTGTTTCAAATTGACCTTGTGGTCCAGTGCTTTATCCTACATGGCCACATCAGGACTCCAGTCCCAGCCTTAGAGTCCTATATACCTTATTGGCATGATTCCACCCAGTCATTTGGTGGGAATTAAGAAGACTGGATAGAAAAGTAAAAGTAAATTCAAAGCACCACACACACTATCTCTAAGTTTGTGGCCCTTTTGTATCTTGGTAATTTTTTCAAAACACACCTAGGCCAAATGAAATACTTAACAGTTATATTTATTAAGATAGTAAGTAGTATTTCTAACAGTTCTATTTAAGTTAGTAAATCAACTTAATGAGTGTTTATAGTCAAGATATTTAGTAAGCATTTTATTTTTAAATGAGCGTCGTTACTTATTTATGAGTGTATCTGTTGGATTGTCTTAAACCTTGGAATAAATTAGACACCATCAATCATTTTTTTTGTCTTATACTGATTTCTTCACACAATAATTGCTTTTTTATCATTGTATCCTCCTGAAGCTCAGCTTCACGAAGATGAAATGTCATTAAAAAAATAAAAGATCTAGTATTAAAGCTAAACTACCGTGACTTAGTTCATTCAATGTCTAACACATTTTGAGGAATCCCTGAGATAATTCTGTATCCAGGGCACCTTGATGCACAGTATGAGAACCATGGTGGTAATATATTAACTAGTACTGCTGGTTAGGATGGCCTGATATGGTGCTGTGGGTTAATGCGTCAGATTACAAAGCTGTTTGAACTGAAAGGTTGGCGGTTCAAGCTCACCAGCTGCTCCTTTGAAACCCTATCCAGGGTTGCTATGGGTCAGAACCGACTCGACAGCACTTAACAACAACAACTACTATTACTTACTGATTAGGATAAATTGAAATTCTGGAATAATTTAGATTAGTGTTTCTCAATAGGGACACTGTTAGCATTTTTGAACGGGCATTTCTTTTTATTTGGCATTATCCTTTCTAGTGATACGTTACTGGTTCTATTTCTTTTTCTCTTCCATTATCTTGATTTTCTTTTCTTTTAATTCAAATACCAAAACAAGAGGGAAGAAAGGATAAAATTGACCCCATTACCAAGAGATACTCATTATTAACATTTGCATTTCCTGCCTTTCCTTTGCCTATTTAAAAAATATCTATAGTTAGATTGATGTGTATAAATAGCGTTATGACTTTTCCCCTTGATATCATATTTTTTCACATTATTAAAAAGAGTTCTGAAATATTCCTTTTAAAGTTTACTTAACATTGTATCATATAGCCATCTTTTAATTTTGACAGGTCCTTATTTTGGACATTTTGATTATTTCTAGCATTTTATTATTATAAAAAATGCTTGAGTGCTTTTGCACATAAATCATTATTTGCATTTTAAGCTGCTTCCTTAGATTTAATTGTTAGATGTGGAATTGAAAGTCTAGGAACAATTTTCATAGGTTCTTGATATATAGTACCAAATCTAAAAATTTTAATATTTACAATATGAATATATATTTACCTTCATTTTCCCCAGGTTTGTTTCAGCTTTTAAAATTCTTGCTAAGTGTTAATAGTGTGTTGTTAGTATTTTATTTCTTTGATACTAGTGATGGCGTTCCTTTATCATTTATATCTAATAGAAATTTTCATTTTAATTTTATAAATTACTATTACCTTTTGGTGTTCTTACATCCTAAGACGCTAAAAGAAGATGAATTTGAACCAAATGAGCCACTTGAGTCTTTTTTTTTTCTTTAACTTGTATTGTAAATAGGGCGAAGATTTATAAAGCAAATCAGTTTTCCATTCAATAATTCATACATTGTTTGTTTCATATAATTGACTGTAATCCCCACAATGTAATGTCATAGTCCACTTCCTGCCTTTGCTTTCCTTTGTTTCTATTCCATCTTTCCTTACCCTTCCTCCCTTTGAACTCAGTCCTTGGGAAAATGCAGTAAGTTTTCTTTTAAAACATTAAGCAGCCTGAGATCATATATGCATGTATATTAAAATATAAACTTAAGTTTATATTGTATATTGTCAGCTTTCAAACTCACTTATAATTGTTGTTAAGTGCCGTGGAGTCAGTTTCGACTCGTAGCTATATAGGGTTAACGAGGAATGACTGGTGAGTTTGAACCAATGATCTTGCAGTTCAACTGACTTTACGGTCCGGCGTTTATCCTACAGCACCACACCATTTATAATTAGTTACCCATTATATGGTGTGACATTGTAAGTTAAGCACTGCACAGCTAACTGCAAGGTCAGTGATTCAAACCCACCAGCTGCTCCTTGGAAACCCTATATAGGGTTGCTATGCATTAGAACTGACTCAGTGTCATTTAACAGCAAAATCAGCACTCTGACTTTATCTTTGGTAGAAACATGCTTTGTGATCACTATGTTTGGATAAATAATAAATCTTTCATCATAAAGCCAACTTTGTAAACTAACACCAAGAATCATCACTGACAGTTGCATCTGCAGCTCTATTGCCAAACATAGAACAAAACAAAACAAAATCTTTGTTGTGATGACTTGTCATTTTTACTCCATTCCTAACATAAATTTGTAAATAGCAACTGCATAATTTAGCTTAACAATAATTACATTCTTACTGTTATTTTTACTTTTAAAAAAAATAGGGTTTAGACTTTTTCTAGGACAGTTATCACTGCAGATAAATCCTAACATTATTTTTTGCTTCTAAAATGAGTTGTCATTTGAAATTAATGCCACACATTGTTAATAGTTGGTAATAATCTCACAGTAATGAAAAAGGCTCTACATTTGTTTGGAAAAAAAAATTATACCTTTCTAACATTAAACTAGAAATGATGGTGGTGCTGACTGCATGCTTGCTTATGAGTCAGTTCCAAGGTCATAGTGACCCTGTGTAGGATTCCCAAGGCTATAAATCAATTATGGCAGTAGGAAGTATCATCCTTCTCCTGTCATGTAATTGGTGTATTTGAACTGCTGACTTTGTGGTTAGCAGCCCAGCTCATAATTCACTATGCTACTAGGACTCCTTACAATAGGAATACATTTATACTTTTGTAATGGCTCATTCAGACTCCTGATGTGGGGCTGTAAGATCAGCATTGGACTGTGCACCACAAGGTCTGCAGTTCAAACCCACCAGCTGCTCCTTGGAAACCATGTATAGAGTCCCTATGAGTCAGAACCAACTTGACGGCACTTAACAACAATTGGCACTTTCTTATCACAGCCCTCTGAAACAACTTGTTTATATACATTGTGGTGGAAGGAACTTCGAAAATTTAAGTTAACGTACTCTTTGAAAAACAATACTACTTCTGCCTTTTTCTATACATAATAACTAGTTACATATAACAAAGGCGCTCTTTCATCAGAGGAAGTACTATGATAATATTAAGACTCATGTTATTGTTAAGTACCATGGTGTCGGTTCCGAGGCTGTAGATCTTTATGGGAGCAGAAAGCCTTATCTTTCTCCCGTGGAACAGCTGGTAGTTTTGAACTGCTGACCCTGAGGTTAGCGGCCCAATTCGTAACCACTACGCTACCAGAGATCCTTGTTAGAAAATTCTTAATTTAAAATATTAGCTAAAGGTTTTCAGGAACAATTTGGTTGGCAGTTGAGCTTTTCCCATGAATTTTTTGAAGCCTCTTTGAGTGCAGTATCATTATTTGAACAAGTACACTACCTCTTCTATTGAGAAAGTCTTTTTCACTCCATATTTCTTAAATATATAAAGAGAAAAAAGTATGTCTACAGTTGAATTCATTTTTTAAGCCAATTAAGGTGATGTAAGAAATTGTGGTTGTTTTATATAGTTATTTGATGAACTAAAAATAATCAATGACTGCTGTCTATTATTGTTGTTGTTAGGTACTGTCGAGTCAGTTTTGACCCATAGCAACCCTGTATAGGGTTTCCAAGGAGCAGCTGGTGAGCTTGAACTTTGTTGACCGTGCAGTTAATTCAAAATGACTTTGCAGTCCAGCACGTTAGCTCACAGCGCCACACCAGGACTCTTTAAATCTTAATTACTCTGTTTATGATTTTTTCCCTTTAATTTCATGCTAATTTCTAAAGTAAACTATCTTCACTTGAATAAGTATTAGGTTTGACTGGTAATTTTATTATATGAGGAGACTTCAAAATGTTGGTGGTAAATTTTCATAATCTTTAATTCCATATTTCCATGAACTTGTTTAAGCGTTCTCATATACCAAACAAGCTTTTCTAATGTTAAAACATTCAATTAAAATTTTAGAATCTGAATTTTCTGATGTGTTCAGTTCTTAAAATTAGCTTAATACCTGTTTGCTAGAGCACTTTGCCAGGTATAAATCAGTGCCATTGAGTTGATTCTGACTCATAGTGATGCTATATAGGATTTCTGAGGCTGTAAATCTTTACAGGAGCAGAAAGCTTCATTTTTTTCTCCCTCGGACCTGATGGTGGAAGGAGCTCTGGTAGTATAGTGGTTACGAATTGGGCTGCTAACCTCAGGGTCAGCAGTTCGAAACTACCAGCTGTTCCGCAGGAAAAGATGAGGCTTTCTGCTCCCGTAAAGATTTACAGCCTCAGAAACCCTGTACAGGGTTGCTATGAGTCGGAACTGACTCCACGGCACATAACAACAGCAGCTGGTGAGGTTGAACTGTCAACCTTGTAGTTATTAGCATTCTAATGTCTATCCTACAGTGCCACCAAGGCTCCATTTACCCTGTATTTGTTGTTGTTAAGTGCCGTCGAGTCAGTTCCAACCCATAGCAACCCTATATAGGGTTTCCAAAGAGTAGCTGGTGAGCTTGAGCGACCAACCTTGCAGTTCAAACGGCTTTGCAGTCTGGTGCATTAACCCACAACACCACACCAAGACTCCTTATTGTATATATGTCTTTCTGTCTGTCACTGTACTGCAAATCTTAAGTAAGTTTGGTAGTTTGAGCCTGCCAGCTGCTCTGTGGGAGAAAGACAAAAATTTCTTCTGCTCCCACAAAGATTTGCAGCCTTGGAGACCTTATACAGGGTCTCTGTGAGTTGAAACCAACTCAATGGCACTTAACAACAAATATATATGTATGTATTTAAGGTCAGAGAGCTGTGGTGGAGAGGAAGAGAGAGAAAGAGAGGATGGGAGAAAAAAAAAGCAAGGTGGAGATGGCCTTACTGTTAAGGATATTTGCAGTGTTTTTAAATATAACAGATGGCTTTCTATTTTAAGTGTATTTTCAAGGGCAAACATAGCTTCTTAAGTTTTGGAATTGTTCTTTCCATTGAACTTATGAACCACCTGCAAAACTATCCTAGCTAATAGACTTATTGATATTTTATTCTAGTTCATTACTTCGGGAAATGAAGAAAAGAGTGCTTCTCTAGCTGCTATTCCTAAACAGATAGAGACATGTGACTCAAAGGTAACATTTCTGAAGAACCTTGATTTTCTAATACATTGTGTTTTCCTGTTAATAACACCACAGGTATCGAAGTTTTCATAGGCAGAATGTTAGTGAGCATAATGAATTAGCATCTTTTTAAGAACAAGAGACATTAATTATTTAATGACTTCTGTACCCATTTTGGAGTCTTCGTGTGGCGCTGTGGGCTAATGCGTCAGACTGCAAAGTCATTTGAACTGCAAGGTCGGTGGTTCAGTCTCACCAGGTGCTCCTTGAAAACCCTATACAGGGTCGCTATGGGTCAGAATTGACACGACGTCACTTAACAACAACAGCAACAATATCCATTTTGGAGTCCTGGTGTGGTACTGTACGATAAGCCCTGGACTGCTTATCACAAGGTTGGTGGTTCAAACCTACTAGCTGCTCCTTGGAAACCCTATACAGGGTTGCTATGAGTCTGTTGACACCATTTAACAACAGCCCCTGGTTTGGCGCTGTAGGATAAGTACTGGAATGTGAACCGTGAGGTTGGTAGTTCAAACCAACCAACTACTCCTCAAAACCCTATGCGGGGTTGTGATGAGTCATAACTGACTTGACAGAACTTGACAACTCCTTTTTTATTTGGTCTTCAATCTTCTTTCCAGTAGTAATGAACTGATAATGCCGTAGTTAGGATACCCAACCTTTTTTTTTTTGAATCCTGGGGTGGCACTGTAGGATAAGTACAGGATTGCTAACTGCAAGGTTTACAGTTCAAACCCACCAGCCAATTTTTGGAAACCCTCTACAGGGTGGCTATGAGTCAGAACCAACTTGATAGCACTTAACAGCAACAACAACCCCTTATTTTGAGTGTGTTGGCTCTGTAAGAAAAATACTAGTCTGCAAATCAAAAGGTCGGCAGTTTGAGCCCACCAGCTGCTCTGCAGAAGCATGAGCTTTTCTGCTCCTGCAAAGCTTCATAGCTGTGGAAATCTATACAGGGTCATTGTGAGTCAAAACATACTGGTGGCACTTAACAACATCAAAAACAATCCCTTTTGTGGGGGACAGGTGTGGCGCTGTAGGATAAGCAAGATCCGCAGTTCAAACCCTCTGGCCGTTGCTCAGATACCTTATACAGAGTTGCTGTGAGTCAAAACCAACTTGATGGCACTTAACAACAACAAGATAGACACAAAGCTATGTAAAGTACTATCAATCATGGCTTACCACTTCAGCTTTTGACTGAATATATGTAGTGCATATAACTCAAGCTGTAGTTCAGGGCTGGGGAACGTCCGGCCCCGGAGCCGTATGTGGCCTGTGAAATCAATTGGTCTGTCTCTGCCAAAGCAACAGCAGTTCCAGCCATCACATTAGGGGCGAGTTTATTAAATGTTTGACCAAATATAGCAGGCTAGTTTTTTAAGTTGATGATTTTCTATGGCCTACAAATGATGCTGTAAATTTTGGCAGAAAAAGGTTCCCCACCCCTACTATAGTTAGTACTACTAACTCAGTGACCCTACAGGGTAGAACTGTCCCATAGGGTTTCCAAGGCTATAGTCTGTTTTTTGTTTGTTTGTTTCTAAAAACAAGTTTTATTTAAATAAAAGTTTAAATACATTACATAACACTTAGAACTGAAAGGGGGGGAAAAACATGTGTTACTTCCCATGGCATTGGGCAGCTGTTGGTAAGTTGCAAGCTCTCCAGCCAGCTATAGGACTGATAACATTGTTTTGGATTTGTTCCCTTGTCAAAAGTTTAACTCTGAAAGGTAGGCCTCACATCCTGGTTCTTTGGACATTCCTTAGCTAGGATATGTCTGGTCAGTAAGAACAATGACCTTGGTGGCAAGCTGGATGCCCTGTCACCTCACAAGAGGGAAGGTGGCCTCTCCTAAGCTCCTGATCCCTTGTCAGGTTCCATACCAGGTTTTTCTTTTGCTACCAAAGGCTCCCTCTAGTGTTACAGCCACCTTATCCCATCCTCTCTGTTCCACCCAGGGTTGTTCAGGTGGTGGGTGGCATTTTCTTAGGGCAGGGAGCTTCTGACCATACACAGCCATCTCTAAGCTTGGCTGAAACATCACATTATTGTTTTGTTTCAGGCTGGGCACTGCCAGGCGCCTACTGCTTGACCTCTGTTTAAATAAGGGACTTCAAGACTAGACAGCATGGCTCTTTTCAGTTTATTGCATGAAGGAGTTATACTAGTCCAAGTTAAAAGTGGAGCCCAAATGGTTACATTATACAAGCTGTGAGGTTTTAAACTTGTGACAAGGGACAGAGGGAAATGTTCTACTCATTGCAAGGAAATCCTCACTTAAGCTTCAGTGAGCCACAAGCCTTAAAACCCATGAACCTTCAGCTGGTCGTCCTTAGCCAGTCCAGTCTCCACAAGGAACTGGCATATGTTCTTGTGCTGGTCATCCTGTAGCTGAATTACTTCTCCATATTCTGGATGCTCAATTACAGTACCATTGCAGGCAAATTTCTTCTTAAACTCCTTCACTAGTTTCTTTTTATTGTAATCATCAGCGATCCCTTGGACAGTAGTAAGGGTCTTCCTGCCGTTTCTTTGTTAAATTCTTATATGGATATAATCCTCAGTCCCAGCAGGAAGCAGGTCATCACCCTCACTTGCATCAGCAAAGGGGTCGAAAGAGTGGAGGTTCTGAATAGCAGACATACGATATGATTCCTTTTCCTCGGTGGAAAAGGCCTGCGGAAGTCGGCGGCGGGCGAAGGCCGGTGGAGGGGCGGAACATTGGGAAACGAGGGGGCTAAAGGGGCAGGAGAGGCTGCTGAGTCCTCGGTGGGCTGCGGCTCAGTGACTGGGGCCCTCCAAGGCTATAATCTTTATAGGTGTGAACTGCCACCTTTTTTTACTGTGAGAGTGACTGATGGTTTTGAACCAGACCTTGCATTTAGCAGTTAAGCACTTTAACCACACACCATCAGGGCTTCTTAGTACTACCTGTTGTTCAGTGCTGTGGAGTCAGCTCCAACTCATAGCAACCCTGAATAGGGTTCCCAGGGAGCAGCTGGTGGGTTTGAACTGTTGACCGTGTGGTTTGCAGTCCAGTGCTGATCCTACAGAGCCATAGGAATACTACCTGGTCCATATAAAAGAGTACTAGAAGTAAGAACCTATGGACCTTTGCTTTTTGCAAATAGTGATACGATTTCTAAAGCTCAGCAGACTTCTGGAAGAGATCTGCCTGGCAGTATAGAAGACAAGGTAGCCAAAAGGGGACTTCAAAAAGTTTGTGGCAAAATGGATTTAAAAGATACTGGAATTTTCCATGAACTTTTTGAAAGTCCCTCATATTTGTTTTTGGGTCATGTACATTCCCCACCACAAAACAGAATATAGTCTTTAATAATTGCGACTTTTAAAAATTGAAATGTGTATTTTTTTAACTTCAGAAGGATATTTTCAACAAAAGTCTTATATCAGGAGCATTTTGGATTTGATTTTCCTTACAAATGTGTGATTTGGAATTTTCATTTAAGAATAAGAGTGTATTCAGATAATGAATCATTTGGGTAGTCATTTGGTTAATTCATCACTTGGAAATTAATTTATTGGAAATACATTAATACTTTTTTTTGCATTCTATTGGCAATCTTATTTTTCTACATTGTCAATAGGCTTTGTCATGTTTGTTGTTGTTAAGTGCCGTTGAGTCGATTCCGACCCATAGCTACCGTGTATAGGGTTTCTGAGGAGCAGCTGGTGAAGTTGAATTGGCGACCTTGCAGTTCAAACGGCTTTGCATTAACCCACAGCTCCCCACCAGGACTCCTAGTATAAAGTAAATATCCAAGAATCCTCAAGGGGGCAGCAGAGAAAGCTGTGTGAAGTATGAATTCAGCTGGAGTCTGAGGGGATAAAGAACCTCTGGGATGCAATCCTACTTTGCAGTCAGACTTGTTAGACTTTACTCTTAGAGCAGCAGACTGTCAGATATGCTGGTGGTTGACAGCCGAATACTCATCTTGTGTTAAGCTTGGTAGATTACAAAACAGAAAAGGGAAGGAAAACACGTCCCATGTCCCGTTTTCTTTCCCTTCTTTCCTTTTTATTATAATGATTATTTTTTATCTGACAAGCACTGTATTAAATACTCGTGACACCAAGGCAAAATAAAAAGGTCTCTACCCTCAAGGAACTTATAGTGTACATCTATGTAAGAATGGATTTTATTAACATATACTGTAATTAGTCTATAATGGACAGTTGTATAACATAGTGGAAACATAGAGAAAGAAGCATCCAGGTCTTTCTGGTGTTTTTAGTCCATTACTCATTCCTGTGCTACTTGTTAATGTTACACTTGAATGCAATGAAATCAATATACTTTTAAAATTGTATCCTTAATGTGTTTTAGGATTCCTGGTTTTTAATGTTACTCCCTTTGTTATTATTTACATTATATGATATTTATTAGAAAGTTGAAGTGTAAATTGCTGTCTACAGATGTGCACTGTAATATATATGTCAGTATATCCTTATGGAGTTCTCAATTTTAATAACTTATCTTTAGCTTGTTGAGTTTCAAGGGCACCAAGTAAAAGGATCAGCTACTAGTGCTGTGATGTTCAGAGGACACAGCTCACAGCTAGGATGCAGTTTGTTTCCAGATAGAATTGAGCGTGGAAACTTTATGACAGACTCTTGTTTTCCAACATCAGAGTTGCCTAGCACTTGCATGCAGACTGACTTCTTACAGGTAAAAGTATTTGTATAGTTACATCTTGCCAAATCATTTGTAAATGTACAAGAGATTATTGTTAACCGATCTTTCTGTGGTCGTTAGTTAAAAAGGAGCACCCCATACTTCAAACTACAAGGTCCTTAGTTCGAGGCTGCCAGCTGCTCTGTGGGAGAAAAATGGTGCTTTCTGCTCCCACGAAGATGTAAATAAAGCCTTGGGAACCATGTACAAGGGTCACTATGAGCACAACAATAACAGTAAATTAAGGAAAAGCATAATGTCTTAGGTCAAGCTATATGAGACAAAAGTATTTAATTTGAAAGATTTCTGCCTACTTAGGATCAGGAATAGAAAGATTTTGTTTTGTTTTCCATTCATGGCAAGAGAGATAGGCATGTTACATTCCTCATTTGTTTTGCAGCTAGTAGATTTCTTTTCTCTAATATTTCACCTTCTCTGTAAGTGTGACACTGAGCCAAATAGAGGGCATGAGTGAACATGATGTTGTTGTTGTTGTTAAGTACCATGGAGTCGCTACTGACTCATAGTGACCCTGAACAGGATTTGCGAGGCTGTAAATCTTTACGGGAGCAGAAAGCTTCATCTTTCTCCCGCGGAACAGCTGGTAGTTTCGCACTGCTGACTTTGAGGTTAACACCCCGATTCGTAATCACTACGCTACCAGAGCTCCTGAACATGATAAGCATGTATTTGTTTATCTCAAAGAGATTTTTTCTTTTATTACTTTTTCCATTGAATCATGATACACATACAAAATAAATGAACATGTCCTATGAACACAGCTCAATAATTACCACAAATAAATGGCACATCCCCAGCAGCCTGGAAGCTCCCCTCCTGCTCACACTCTTATCTACCCCTTCTTTTCTCGCGTATTGCTTGTTGCGGTCAGGTCTCTTACAACAGGTTTAGTTCATCAAGTAACTGTACCTTATCTTACAAAACCACATATTTAGTTTTGCTTTTGAAATTGTATATAAGTGGAATGATAACACAGTATGTTCTTAGTATCTGACTTCTTTTGTTAAACATTGTATTTTTAAAGTTCATATAGTTGCAAATTATTCCTTTTCATTGCTGGTGTAGGATTCCATTGTATGAATACACTTCAGTTTATCCATTCTGCATTTGTTTGATTTGCTTACATTTTGGGGTTATTAGAGTAATGCTGCTCTGAACATTCTGTTTTTAAACACTTTATTGTGATTTGGGTGAAAGTTTGCAAAGCACACAATTTCACACCAAACATTTACTTTTTCTTTTCTGACAATAGTTGCAATCCCCTTGTGGCCAAAAAGTGTTACAAAAACCCCCCATTTTGTACATTTTATTATCTTATTAATTTTGTGTGCTGGAAACTTGGGAGTCTTTTCATCTTTCAGGTACAAGTCCACCAGTCCTATGAATCACTTTTTGTTGGTTTGGTAATTTCCTCTCAGCTTTTGTTTTGTTTTTTAATTTTCCTCTTTCTGGAACTTCTACCAGGTGCTTCCAGCCCATTGTGATGGTATCAGTGACACCTGTGTATTTTCATGATTCTTGAGTCTTTTCATGATTTTTGAGACAAAGCAGCATACTTTTTAATAGGCTCTCCTGAGTGGGTTTGACTTGCTTCCTTACTGTCAAGTCTAACATTTTTCCATTCTTTTAATGTTGTTATTTTTGTTATTAAGTGTCGTTGAGTCAATTCTGACCCATAGCGACCCTGTATAGGATTTCCAAGGAGCAGCTGGTTGAGCTTGAACTACCGATCTTGAGGTTCAAACTGACTTTGCAGTCCAATGCATTAACCCACAGTGCCACATCAGGACTCTTAATATTATATTGGAATTCAGGCTTACCATTCATTGTTTCATAGTTTTATCAAAGATAGTTGGTTTCTATGTCTCATTTCCTTGGGTTTTTTGTTTTAGTTTTTGATCAGGAGAATAAATTAGCTCAATGCAGACATCATGGTGAAAAAGAAACTTATATACATATTTTATTGCTAACTATTTTCATATAAATTGTAAATTAGTTATGCTTGTTTATATTATATCCCTAGTCTGTAAAATGTACTCCTGGTGTGGCGCGCTGTAGGCTCAACACTGGACTGTGAACTACAAGGTCAGCAGTTCAAACCCACCAGGTACTCCTCGGAAACGCTATACAGTGTCACTATGAGTCAGAACTGACTCGACGGCATCTAACAACAAGGAGTCTGTAAAATGTTCTAACTAAAATGACTAGACCTACCAACAGAGATAAGTGCTGTGTTAAGTAAATTTGCTTATACATAACAGTCTTAAAATTCTATGTTTTCTAGCAGGTTAGTATTGATTATAAGAAGCACCTTTATGTTATGTAACATTAGAAAGAACAGTGATCAGTTAAACATTTTTTGTTGTTAGTTGTCATCAACTCATAGAGACCACATGTACAACAGAATGAAACACTGCCCAGTCCTGCACCATCCTCACAATTGTTGCTACACTTTAACCCATTGCTGCTACCACTGTGTCAATCCATCTTCCTGGTGGTCTTCCTCTTTTTTTGCTGACCCTGCACTTCACCAACCATGATGTCCTTCTCCAGGGACTGGTCCCTCTTGTTAACATGTCCAAAGTCTAAGAGACAAAGTCTTAACCATCCTGGCTTCTACTTCATCTGACACATATTTGCTTGTAGTTCTAGCATTTGATGATACTTTTAATATTCTTCTCCAACACCGTAACTCAAATGCATCAATTCATCTGTGGTCTTCCTTATTCATTGTCCAACTTTCACATACATATGAGACTATTGAAAATACCGTAGCTTGGGTGAGGTGAATCTTAGTCCTTAAACTGATATCTTTGCTCATGAACACTTTAAAGAGGTCTTGTGCAGCAGATTTGCCTAATGCTATACGTCATGTGATTTCTTGACTGGTGCTTCCATAAATATACTGATAGTGGATTTAAACAAAATAAAGGCATGCAAAACTTTTCTCCATTATCATGATGATATTTACTGATTCAGTTGTGAGGATTTTTGTTTTCATTTCATTGAGGTGGAATCCATACTGCAGGCTGTGTTTTTTGATCTTCTTTGTGTCCTCTTCTCTTTCAGGTAGCAAGATTGTATCAATTGAATACTGTAGGTTGTTAAGGAGTCTTCTTCAATCATGTTGCCATGTTCTTCTTCATAGAAACCAACTTCTCAGATTATTTTCTCAGCATACAGATTGAATAAGTATGGTGAAAGAATACCACATGGCACACATCTTTCTTGATTTTAAACCATCCAGAATCTCCTTGTTCTTTTCGAATGACTGCCTCTTGGTCTTTGGACAGGCACTTCATGAACACAATTAAGTGCTCTGGAGTACTCATTGTTCGCAGTGTCACCCATATTTTTGCATGATCCACACAGTCGACAGCCTTTGCAATAAAGCACAGGTAAACATCTTTCTAAGGAGCTCTGGTAGTGTAGTGCTTATGAATCGGGCTGCTGTTCTCACAGTCAGCAGTTCAAAACTACCAGCTGTTCTGCGGGAGAAAGATGAGGCTTTCTAATCCTGTAAAGATTTACAGCCTTGGAAACCCTGTACAGGGTCGCTATGAGTCGGAACCGACTCCATGGCACATAACAACAACAACAGGAAACATCTTTCTGGTTACTTTGCTGTCAGCCAATATCTATCTGACATCAGCAATAATATCCCTTGTTACACAACTTTGAATCCAGTTTGAACCTCTGGCAGTTCCCTTCCAGTGTACTACTGCAGCCATTTAAAAAAAATGATCTTCAGCAAAATTTTACTTGCATGTGATATTAATACTATTGTTCCATGATTTCTTCATTCTTCTATTGGGTCACTTCTCTTTGGAATGGGTACAAATATGGATCTCTTCTAATCAATTAGCCAAGTAGCTCTCTTTCAACTTTCTTTGAATAGATGAGTTCGTGTCCCCAGTTCTGCATCTGTTTGTTGACAGATTTCAGTATTTATTCCATCAATTCCCAGAGCTTTGTTCTTTTCCCAGGGCCTTCAGTATATCTTGTACTTCTTGCTTCAGTACTATTGACTCTTGATCATATGATATCTCTTCAAAAGATTGAACATCGACCATTTCTTTTTGGTATAGTGATTCTGTGTGTTCCTTCCACCTTCTTCTTTTCTCCCTCCCCACCCCCTCCAAAGCTTTTATTGTTAATTAAGTGAAAGTTTACATGGCAGAACATTGATTGGTTTTGCACTCAACTAATCATATTTTGTTTCATTGCAATGTTTACAATCCCATCCATGTACCATTGGTGAACAGTATTTACCTCTATTCCCTCTTTTTTTTTTTTATGTACACAAAAACACACAGGAATGTATAATTGTTTAAACGACCAAAGGGCACATTTTGCAAGCTAGCCTCCTGTGCACCAGCACACAGCCTTTCCATTTCTATGGATCTAAAGTCCTCAGCTGCTCTATGTCTCCATGCCATCACCTCTGCCTCCATCTCTGGTGTCCCTGCTTCTCTGGTTAGGATCTGACGTTCTGTTCATGCTTGTCCCTCTTGATGGTCCTAGGGTCCTCTGTTCCTAGAATGTAAGATAAACTACTCCCGTTTTTTGTTACACATCTTCTACCTTTACAGTTGTGACAATCGCTATTAGTCATAACAACAGTTATTCACTATTGAATCAAAAGAATCCTATCCTCATCTCCTTTCACCAGATCCATCTAGACAAGATGACAACCATTTAGTGAGGATCCTACTTTCCCCCACTCGCTCTGAAACTAAACTCCCTCTTGGAAGTTTGTAAGCCAGTCACTTCATGCCTTTATTTGTTGTTGTTAGATGCCATATCAAGTTGGTACTAATGCATAGTGACCTTATGCACAGCAGAACGAAACACTGCCTGATCCTGGGCCAACCTCACTA